ATATCCAGCTAATTCTCACTGAGAACCTGGTAAATTCCTGGCACCACCATGAATTCTCCTGAAGGCCCCTTGGTGTGTTCAGTAAAGGAACTACTAGATTCCATGTACCTTTTATCTCCATCTTGGTGCACTCAATGGTGTTTCTATCAGTGTATATAACCTAGAGATCCAGGCATTGTTTGCATGAGATTTAGAGTTGTTTAGAAGTTTCAATCTTTTGTTAATTTTTAAATGTGCTGAGTTGTTCATCCTTAAAAGGCACCATATGTCATTTTGGGGATGACAGCATCCCATGTGCCACTCCAAGAAAAGGGCTTGCAGTCAAGAGAGGTCCTAGAATGTGAGGGCAGGGCATACCTTGTTCTGAGAGAGCCAAACAAGTCCACTGTAGTCAAAGAAAATAAATTTTAAAACATTTTGTGGCAAGTATTTTCATTGGGAACACGTACTGTGACCGGAGATCATGACTTCTTGGTGTGCATGAAAGTTATATTTTGAGAATGTCATGAAAAATGGAGAAGTCTATGAAAGGCACTCTAGCTTTAGGAAATAATGCTAGTAGGGATTTTAGATTAAAGAGGTAATAAGATCTGCCTAAGCAGAGTGAAGAGCGATGGTTGAGTAGTGAAAAATAAGGTTATCAGACAAGTAAATGGCAGGCTGGAAAATAAAAATGTGTCATTGGGATGGCAGGAAGCCATTGCCGGTTTTTCAGAAAGCAAGATAGGGAAGTTATCATACCCTCCCCATCATTTAACTTGAATGGTAAAGGAGTGATCCTAGAGTTCAAGTGACAGTGGGAGGGAAAAATTGTAGTAGTCTCACTTAAAGATTAGGGTCCAATTTTTGAACTTATATCAGGGATTGAGGTTCAAGTGTAGATTAAATATAAAATGAAGAACCAGACAGTTCTACAAAATTGGATGCAAGTAACAAAGGACATGAACTGTTGTTGCAGACTAGTTTCAGTTCTGTGGAAAGCAGACCGCATGTACTGATTGAGAACTTGGAATTTGGGACTTTTGTGGGGGTGGGGTGGAAATCAGTAAGCCCTGTCTTTATCACGTTCAGTGTGAGGTGGTGATGAGCGTTTAGATGGTACAGCTAAGCTAAATTCAATCAGATTTAGAATAGTGCTGTCCTCAGCAGATAAAAATGTGAGGCTATGGGAGGGAATTCAAGTGAGTCATTCTGCCCCAGGGCTAGGCCAGAACTCCCTAGAGACCATTTGGAAGAAACAACTGGGCAACACCCTATCTCATATGTGACCCTGCATCCAGGCGGTACCACTACATAGACAAACTGAATCCAAATGTTAAGAAGGATGAAATGGTTTCTACAGGTATGACAGACCAAGATTTCAGACTCTCAAAAATTAGCAGAGATGTCTATTGCTGTAAGGAGGCTTTGGTGGAGCTCAGGGGTGGCAAAGTAAGGGAGGTGTGGTCATCTCACCATAGCCACCTGGCTGGATCCTGGAGGTGAGACCTGATTCTACACATGAGCCACCAGCAAAGAAACCCCATCTAGTAGCACTGCTTCTTCCTTAGCAAAATCCAAGAGTGATGGAAGGACTGCTCCTGTGTTTTGCCTATTGCCTACCATAGGGGATAGAACTGATGGTTCATCAGGCAGGAAAGACTTCCCTGATAGTCAGCC